GCTTGGTGCCATTGAATTGTCTCCATATTTCCTACAGGCTTCACGCTGCTCTCTGGTATGTAGAGCCAAAATCTGGAAGTATCTTCAGCCGCTCTAGTAAATAATTAAATTTGGGAAGTTAAATAAAATGAAAAATAAAAAATTAAAAATGGGAAAAATATAAAGTGGACAAATTTTTCAATGGTATGAATATTATGAAGCGAATGAAAAGTACTCGATGAATGGATAATTTACTGGCCTCATCTTTGCGAGCGTAATAAAATTGAAATTTGTTTGGTGTGGGTTGATTCTTTCAAAGTGATGTTCTTCAAGCCAAACTTGTCAAGTGATGATAGAAGTTTGTTCAAAAATACATATTTGAAAAATTCATTTTCCTTTCAAATAAATTTTGCTATTAAAACACCCTGTTCTATGATGAAGCCACCTAAAATAATCATTAATAAAATAAAATGCGCTACAAAAGCATTTGTTCTGCCTTTATGCATAATTAGGCTTATAGTACAGTCATATTGACAGTTGAAATGCGACGAGCTTCATTGTAAAAATACTTGAAAAGATGCATTAGTTAGATTTTTCGTGGGAGGCTACTTTGTACTTGATCGCCAAATAGTTGCAATGTGGGTGTTTAATTGCATTTAAATGCGCATTAGTCGCGTTTATGCAATCAGCACATGCTCAACAACAGCTAAAATAATATTTTAATTAAATAAAAGCAATTACATAGAATAAATAAAAAATAAATAAATAAATAGGGAAATCTTCAATGAGTTCAGCATGCAGCAAAAACCTTTTTAGAGCGAAAACAATGCATATCGATTTACGATAGGAGAATTTATTGCGATTCAATTGGTAATTGAAACCATTTTTTAGATACCATGACGGAGTGATATAACTAATTTTTTACTTCGAATATTTAATTAATGACATAAGTTAACTAAATATGGTCGTAAAAATTTCAACATTAAATATGTACTATTTTTAATGCAAATATTTACAGAATGTGCTCAATGCTAGGAAAAAGATTGCTCACACGTTTTTATTTAACCTATGAATTTTTGTAGAAAATACTAACTAAGAGGAATATTTTGGATGCAGAAATACTCCTAGAGGATTTTGATGCATTTCTGCATTAAAAAAGATTCCTCTCAATTAGTGGTTTCGGACAAAAAGTCGAAGGTTAAATAAAAAAGTGTGAGCAATCCTTTTCCTAGCATTGAGCAAAAATAATATATATTTTATGTAGAAAATTTTTGCAAAATTTGTCGCTTACGTTATTTTGGTGGTTAGGTTGGAATTTATGAAAAAAATTATTAAAAAAAAAAATTTAGTTGAAGCTCTTCGTGCAGTTTTGCCTGACTTGCAATCTTTGATCTTTAATGCTTCTTAATGGTACACACCTTAGTAATTATTGCGCTTGTCAAGCAGCCAGCCACCTTAGCACTTACTGAAGTGTGAATAATCATCTAGCAAATCTGCAATTAAGTAACAAAATTAAATTTGTGAACATGCTTCGCTTCATCAATATGTCAATTATGTTTTGCAAATTAACTAAATTGATCTCGACTACAAACGGGAATTTAATAAATTTTTTTTCGTTTAATAGAGCAATCTCTTGAAACAAGCTAAGACCAGACTTACATGGGTTAGGTTAGGTTGTAGTGTCGTAATTTAGATCTTAGTCCCGAAAATCTCATTTGGATACCATTTTATCTCGATTCCGACCATGTTCTAATATATACAACTAAATATGTAGTTTTATTTATAAAGCTGTAAAGATCACCACTTTTCGACGAGCTTACATATAAAAGTTTGAAAGACAGTCAAAGAAGTGTTTATTGGAGTTAACGTCGCATGAGCGCCATCAATCCCAGACATTGGCAAAGGCAAAGTTCGAAAGAAGTGGTTTGCTGAAAAACCCATTCTTCCCGCGTGTATTTCCAATTCAATACTCGTTCTAAGTTGAGGGTGTTCCAGAAGAATGAGGGCGCTTAACCCACGTTTATCGAGTCCGGGTCAGATTTGAGGCTTTAAGCCACAATTTTCTGGATGAAAGCGGTATACCCGCTTAATAGGAGGTATTTGTGGCAGAAAGGGACGTGTCGGTTCTCTGTGCCCTGAAACCCAAATCATTGGGGTGTACTTGGATGTCAGCTCGTTTCCTTTAGGTCTGCGTTCGTTAGCTACTTAGGAGAAAGTCAAGCAGCATTCTATAGTTTTAGTAGCGCTTTCTATGCGAGACAATTTTAATTTCTTGAAGGTCAAGATTACCCTTGATCATAGCTATCAGCCCAGCTTGAAATATTCTATAGTGATTTCCCAATCGAAATAAAATGATGAAATGATGAAACTTTGTCGATTTTTTTAAGTATGGTACACATTTTTGAAATTGGACTTATAAGGTTCTAGTTAGAGAATAAACTAAATGTCGATATGTGGGTGTCGTACAGTTAATATATACACTATAGTACATCAAAAAGGTAGTATGAACCCCCTGCTAGGCTTTCACTGAGTTGACTCTCCTCTACGCCTTGTTCAAGGAAGGTACAATTGGCTAACACAAATACTACTTCGAAGATGTAAAAAAATTTTAGTGAAAGAAAACATGTAAAAAGGTTATCAGGAGTGTAGTATAAATAGTAGTTTTGTTTCTTTTTTGTTAAGCCCCTTTCAGACATGTCAAGTCTTGCTAAGTCTGCTCGGTTCGTAGGCGAAGTAGGTGAGAAGAGAGGGGAAGAGTACATTCGACTCACCTCCTTCGCCTACGAACGAGCAGACTTGAAATCAAGACTTGACGTGTCTGAAAAGGGTCTAAGAAGTAGCATATCTATATAAGCCAGAATGTTCTTAAATTTATATTAAACAAAACCACAAACACAATTTAAATAGTATAGAATTTACTTGAAAGCAATTTTGAAATGCAATCCAAAAACCACAGGTAAACCCATGGACTGTAACAAAAAAGATTAAGCTGACGACACAATTGCAAATATCTGCTAGCAAGTAAATGGATACCAAACAGCCTAAAATAAGGAAAAAAAATCCGATACAAAATTTTAGCTGAAAGGTAATTAAAGTTACAAAGAAAATTCACCGACTTTAAGCCAATTCAATGTGCGCATAGGCTAAGCCCAATTGTATGTAACCTGTTCATTGAAAAGCGAATGTGCATGCCTACAGCTAACTATGTATATACATATGTAGATCCACACTTACCTACTCGTACACACTTTCAAATAAATATGTACTGAAAACTACTCCCTGCAGCTAGCTTGCATACCTTCATTTTTTTTTTTTTGATTTCGGTAGTTGAATGCACTTCAATACAGGCAATAGAAACGCTCTGATTGTTTTCGAATTTTTTTAGCCAACAAATACAACATAGGTGACGGCAATCGGTGCCTACTACGACATCAGCAACAATAATAAAAAATGCCACAAGCATTGTTAGTGGCTGGTTGGTAAATACGAAGTTAAAAAAAATGCCTTGCGTGAAAGGTATGAAATTTGGTGCAACCAAAAA